GCTGCATCACCATGCAACCACCCGCGGCGGAACCAGTTCACGGCCATCTTCCAAGCAGTCGTCAAACAACCCTCAACTGCAACAACAATGGTGCGAGGCACACCAGGCGCACGTAAGGCATTCACCCCAGGAGTGCAGAATCCTCCTCCGGCAGCAGGCTCGCTTGCAATCACAGAACACCGAAGCTCCCATATCAACGGGGCAACAGCGCATGGGCCAGAGCAGCACAAGTCATCCTGCTCTTAATCGAGAGCAGCATTGCTTCCACTGCCAGGCTCCAGGGCATATAGCCAAATATTGTCCACTCGCGCTCCAGGGAAACGGACGTCCGCCACAGTGAACGCGGCACACTGTGTGGATAGCGACCTTGCCGCACCTCCACCAATCATCCTGCCATTACAGGTTAGAGATGTTGTAATTCCTGCCCTAGTAGATACAGGCGCATCCCATGCCTTCATAGCCCAGCACCTCGTTGAGTCCCTTAAGCTTACCCCGCGACCCTGCTCGGTTCATGTGTTAACAGCCCTCACTCCCGGGTCGGCCATAGTCGCCCAGCAGGTCGTACTTGAGTTTGTCTTTTGCGGATTGCAATATTCTATCCCCTTCTTAATTCTCCCACACCTCTCAGATCCCCCGATCCTGCTCGGCCGTACCGCGATTCACCATTTCCCTCTCGCGCTAACAATAGACAGCAATTGTGCGTTTGTTGGATTTCAGCGCAGCATCCAAAATCGCGCGGCTCCCACCCTTGCGATCGGCGAAGGTATTTCATTTATCAATGGCAAAACTCGAGAACGCAACCAGATCACTGCCTTGCTGGTGCGCCACGCAGACCTGTTTCACCAGTGGTCAGGCAGGCGCGGATTTTTTCCAGAACATACCGTAACCCTTAAGGCAACTAGTGACAAAATTCCCAACACGCGCTCATTTTGCCAATCAACGGAAATGAACTCCCTCTTTGCGACCCTTGTGGACGAGTGTATAGAAGCCGGGATAATAGATCCCGCTTCCTCACCCTATAACTCGCCTGCATTTCTAACGGGGAAGAAGAATTCAGATCCACAGGCCCCTCCCCACCGCCATTCGCGTCTGGTGGAAAATTACCAGGGTATCAATGACATCCTGGCAGATGACCGGTATCCCATGCCGGTCATACAGGATCTCCTTGCTGCTCTGGGACGCAATAACGCGTATTTTTGCAGCCTTGATCTGCACGCCGCATTTCATCACTTACCAATTGCGTTCGAGGACCGGCAAAAAACCGCGTTCTGGACTCCGCAAGGCCAGATGCAGTACCGCGCCATGCCTTTTGGCCTGAAAAATGGCCCTGCCGCCTTCCAACGCGTGGTTAATCATATCTTGCGTCATTTTTTGTTTGAGCATTGTCTCGTCTACATGGACAATATCATTGTCTTTGGCGCATTGTTTGAACAGGTCCGCAAAAATTTGGAACTGATTTTTACGGCCCTCAAAGAAGCGGGAGCCATGGTTGATCTCACAAAATCTACGTTTCTCGCAAAGAAGACAGTGTTTTTGGGTCATGAAATCGACCAGATGGGCACTCGCCCTCTGGAAAAAGATCTGGACGCAGTACGTTGTTTTCCGAAACCCCTAACAACACGTCAGATGCAGCGTTTCCTTGGCATGGCAACTTATTTGCGCGCACATCTCCCCACTAATTTTGCGGCAGCCGAGAAAGCCCTTTGCCAAATCATACCCGCGAAACTGCTCATGAAACTGGTTTGGACGCAGGAAGCCAATATCGCGTTTGAACATCTGAAAAATATCTTAGCCAATTCAGCCCGACTCGAGCGCATGGACCCATTACGCGCAACGGAAGTGCATTGCAACGCATTGGCCACGTCGCTTGGCGCAATCTTGGTACAAATTGACAAGACTGGCCAGCTGCGGGTTATCGAGTACGCCAGCCGTACCCTGAATGATACTGAGACGCATTATTCGAATTCCGAGAGAGAACTACTTGCAATAGTGTGGGCAGTGACAAAGAAATTTAAACATTATCTCGAGATGAAGGATTTCACCGTCTACACCGACCACAAAGCGCTGTTGGGTGAGCTGAAAACAACTTGCTTAATTTACCTTCAGACGAAGCTTGCTCCGTTCCGTGCCAAATTGGTATACAAACCGGGTCAATTTCTAAAAGGTCCGGATGCGCTTAGTCGTGTTGTTGTGAATGCCGCGGAGGGTCGCGAAGTTCCAGACGAGGTCAAACAAGTGAAAATCATAGACAGTTACCATGCGGAGCTCGGCCATCCCGGATGGAAGAAAGTATATCAAACCTTGCATGAAAGGTATCATTGGCCATCTATGCGGCAAGATATATGGCAACGCATCCATTCTTGCCAGACCTGTTTCAGGTATAATGCCCGGACTGCTAAAATCGGAACGCATATCGAGCCCATTGTGTCTACCCACGCGCGCAAACGCCTGACTCTCAACTTTTATGGTCCGCTACCGCTATCCGCAGATGGGCACTGTTACGCTATAATCGCCGTCGATCATTACAGCAAATACATGATAGCAAAACCGATTTGCAACGCAGATGCCGTTACCGTGATACCGTTTCTGGCCAAAGTTTTTCGTCAGCTCGGCATTTTTGAGTTTGTACATACTGACTGCGATTCCGTTTTTTGTTCTTGCGCTTTCAAATGGTTTCTCCGCTACGTCGGTATCCAGCAGCACGTTGCGCAGGCAACACACCCCAAAGGTAACGGATGTTGCAAGCATGCGATTCGTACCCTGGGCCAAATACAAGCCAAGCATGTCCAACAGGATAGCGCTTGCTGGGACCAGCATCTTCACAAGTCGGTCACTGCCAACAATAATACCGTCCATTCAACCACTGGAGTAGCACCGACCGAGGCTTTCTTCAATCATCCAGTTTGCCTCGAATCGGATAAAATTTTCGGTGTTGAACCTCCCTCCATCGAGCAAGCAGTCGCCCAAATCGCAGAAAAAAGCACCAAGGCCCGCAACAAATTTTGTAACTCCGCGAGTCGTAAAAAATGGCCGAGATTCCGACCTGGAGACGTTGTGGCTACGCAACACCGCTTACTGACGGTAAAGCAACACGCCGCCAACTGTAGATTTTGCGTTCAGCAGCTCGGACCATTTATAGTTATTCGGTATTTGGGCAACGGCGAGTACCACGTAGATGCAGGTGGCGCAATCTGTCGGGTTAATGCTTGGGAATTAGTCCCCGCGTGCTGCCTCCCCCGTGAACCCGACCCCGTTTGGGTAGAGCACGTCGAACCGTTATTTTTTCCTCTTTTCGAAGATCCGTATTTGAAAGCAGACGTCCACTTTGCAGACCCCGACGCTGGCTTTTCTCCCCAAAACAACATTCTCCACGACCATGATTACCTCATGACTCGACCTGCTTCCGCAGCCCGTCCCGACCATACTTATTTTTCCTCAAAAAACGCAGTCAGAAATCCTTCTCGACCCCGTTTTTCTGGGGGGGGGGGGAGAGTAAGGGCCCCCTATTGGAACCCCTTAGAGCGACATCTACACCCACGAACTAAGAAATACTTTAGTCTGATCAGTTTACCCACCCAAGCTTGTCTAGCAGGAAGTTGGCTATCTTGATCGGAGGAGATGCGGAGAGGACCCTGACATTGGGACTTCACTTTGCTCTTGACCTTCGATGAGCTGACATTAACTGTTGTTTTTATTGTGTGCAATCGCTGACTTGACTTTGTGTTTGTGTTCCTGCCATCTGAACGGAGTTGTCCTGAATAAAGACTCTGTGTGAAACTGCCCTGGCAGAAGACTTTATTACCAATCCTTACTCTACCTAGGCAGGGTGTACTCCAGTGTGCACTATGCCGTCCGGCGGGTCTATTCAAATCCACGGAGTGAAGTTCCATGGTGAACACATGCAGTAGTTCTTTCAGCAAAATTCAGAGGAGAGACAATTCCATGGTGATTATGGATTCTTTAGATAGGAACTTTCTCCTATTTTGAAAATGCCGTGTAACAACACACATCCAGGAGCGGATTAATTTTGTCATGTGATTGAAGATAAAAGAACAAAAAACTCTGTTTAAATGAAATGATTTCATCTACCCCATGAATTAAAGAGTAGGTTTTCTGTGACAGAGTGATTCTGTAGAATTTGACAACAGTTTGCATTGCTGTTGGGAAAAATGTGCAGTATAGAATCTTGTTGCAACAAATCTTGTTGATGCTTCAGAGAAATGTCTTTTTCAGTCCCTGCCCCAACTGCCACATTCTTATTTAAATTTCTTTTTAACAAATTTTTGTATATGACAAAGCTTTTTCAAGGCCTGAAATGCTTTCTTGTCCAAAGTTCTACTGTACTTTTGCATTAATTATTAACTAACATAACCTGACGTAACTGCACCCCACCCAAGTCAGTTTCAGCAGAATACCAATAAATAACAGTGCCTGTCAATTCACATTTCCATTCAAATACATTCAGTAATGAACTTGGATCAAGGATTAAACAGACCAATGGTAAGGCTGAGGATAGCATACCAAGACATTGGAACAACAGGGTTGTTGAACAATTGGGGTAAGGAGGATTCATTTTTGAGAACCACACATGGATGCCGCTGATAACATTCCGTGTGTTGTTCTTAGCAACATCTATGAGGGCATTGGTTTGCGTGTGGCTCCCTCCAAGTGGGATAGCTCCAAGGCCTCCCCTGAAAATAGATTTCCGCAGAATTCATCATTATTTTTGCAAAAGTAAATGCTGCTTCAAGAATCACTGTGGAATCAACTTTCCTCTGAATTCTGTGGAAGATACCACGGCGTAAGTGATCACTGCAGAAGAGCCTCTGCTGAATTGCACTCCGCGGATGTGGACTAATCCTCCTGCAGGGGGAGTACGCTGTACCTGGGGAGTACGCCCTGCCTGCTACACCAGCAAAGGGTGTCGCCCTAACACGCCTGAACGCCTGAGTGGAAAAACGCGTTGGCGCCTCGCGGTGTCTGCGTGGAAGCTCTCAAACATGGCGGCTGCCAAGGTGCGAGTGTTGGTGGATCTGCAGTCGCAGGTTGTTGCCGACGCGAAACACTTTGAGTGAAGAAGTAGATTCTGAAATCCATGACTTGCACACGCAAAAAGTTTTGATTTGTGGATCATGAGTCAGTTGATTGTTGCTTGTGTAGTTGACTTGCTGAAGGCATCATACTCAAGCGCATTTTTTTTATGTCCTCTGCAGACCATTTTTCCCGTCATCAAAGATGTTCTTGAAATATTTTCTGTTAGCCTTGCTTTTTTCGGCTTCCGTGGGTTTTGTGCATGCCCAAGATGAAGCGGATGAGGACCCTTTAGAGGCTGAGACCGAACCAAATCCTGAAGAAACCCCAGACGATGACACTCCAAAATTTTCGGCTGCTGAAGATGCCGAAACGACAATACTCTTTGTTTCGCCCGTATTACCCCCGGAAACCTCAGTTGGTATGTTTAAGGTACCGTCCTTCAATGCGAAGTTGCTGCTGTTAACCAGATTTCTTGTTTTTGAAGAACTTCCGGCTGGAAAGCCAGTTGAAATCATCGTTGGCTTCCACAACAAAGCCAATTACGATTTCATTGTGGATTCCTTGGATGCCTCTTTCCGCTTCCCAATGGATTATAATTATCATATGCAAAATTTCTCGTCGTTGTCCTGCGATTACACCATCAAACCTGGACAGCAAGGATCTTTTTTGTACGGATTTGTACCCGCTGAAGCTTTTGGGTCCCGTTCTTACGGACTTAACGTGCGGCTGACTTATCACGATTTGGTTGGTTTCCTTGGTGTAATTTTTAGCGCGTCCAAAGTCTGTTTTATCTCTGAATTATGCAGAACGGCAATTATTTCACGGATGCCGTTTTTAATCAAACCATCCCCATTGTGGAACTTGATGAAGGCCTAGATGGGGAGACCTTCTTCCTTTACGTGTTCCTTGCGGGATTGCTGGTTCTTCTGGCAGTCGTTGGCTCCCAGTTCCTTTCGTGGGGGAAAAAGAAGACTCTGGGATCCAGCAAAGCATCGAAGCCCCGCGCAGCCGTTGTTGAAACTGGAACAAAGAAAAGCGATGATATTGACTTCGACTGGATACCCAAGGAAACGCTTCAGGAGATGAGTAAGGGATGAGTTAGGAAGGCGAATTTAAAGTTCAGTTCCACCTTCTCGTATATTTTCCGCTAGCTTCGATTGCGTTCAATTTGTTGAGGCGTGCGGGAAAACATCTAGAGATTGTTTCAATGGGATTTTCTTTCCAGATCGTACACCAAAAACTCCTACTCGTAGTCCAAAAGCAAGGAAGGCCAAACAAGCTGCCAGCAGTGATGATGAATGATACTCCTGGTTTTAAACCATTTCATGTTCCCATTCCATGAAGTGTAGGATTTCACTGCTTTCTTCCTTTCATGGTAAATTTTTCTAATTTATCCGCGAGTGTTACTTTGTTTGCGTTTGCCGCGAATGTTGCTCAGCTCCGCGTGGTGATTTTATTTTTCTTGATGTCCAAGATGAAAGGGTGCGTTGTGAGACGGCTTATGAGCGTTGATTGCTGTAAGCAGGATCCATGGAAAATTGAAAAGAGATTTATTTCTCCAAGAAACACTTATTTTCGGTTATTTCCATGGACCAACTGAGGTCTGAGTGATGGTAATTTGTGAATATGCATGAGTATTGTTTGAAAATTCGTTCTCTGGTCGAATTGCTTCATTGTTCGAATTTTTTTCTCACTTCGTTCATACCTTTGAAGAGCAATTGAATTACCTTCAAATGTGGTGTGATTGGATTTCTTTCAGCACTTCGTTTTGATTTCCCGGGAGAAAGTCTTGACTCAATGCTAGTGCGTACCGTGATAATGGAACCCTCGACGTTAACGAGATGAATTGGACATAATTTTATTCCAATGATTAATAGTGTCCCCTTATTATTCCATGTAGGGAAGTAGTGTGAATTTCTTCCGATGCCGTTGAAGCATCTTCGGAATGTTCTTGATCCTTCAGGTAAAATTAGTGGATTTTGCGTTCCCGATATTTTGCATGCTCCATGTTCGTTAAATTTGGTCGAAGAAAAAAATTTGATCGGTGTATGCACGATGTACTGACTATCGTTGCTTAATATGCTGAATCGATCGAAAGCCCTCGTATTGAAGGCCAACTCGCTTTCTCGTTTGTTACATTCCCAATCTTCCTTCTCTTCGGAGACTTCTGAAGCTAAAATTCGGATTCGAAGTGCTTCAGGTTGGATGAGTTCGTCGATAACGTTGTCTGAGGATTATTTCCTTGTTGTTCCACTCGCTTGCTATCATTGATGAATCGCGTATCGTTCCGAAATTCCAAAGATGAATGAAAGGTGAATGTGATGGCCACCGCTTTGTCAGATTGCGGTCGACCTGCGCCACTAATATGTCAGGCTTGCTAAATATTCTAATGATTACTTGCAGCATTAGTTTTTGGCGAGGGTTGTTCGATTGTTACAACACAGTATCCTATATCTTTATCAATATATGTGAATGAAGCGCTGCAGCTTCTCGGAGATTCTTTCTGGTAAACATAGTCGGGATAATCTAAAAATTAAATCTTGCTTATGTAACGTATTCGTGTTCTCGATAAGTGGAAGAGACCACGTGAGATTATTATTCTTATAGAATTTGATGTGCCCGAAAGGTTAACATTTCAGCCCATACTTCTTGCCATGTATTATATTGGATTGGCCTCAATATCGTATTTAAAACCATTTGCAGTCTTTTTTTTTTAACCACCGCGGAATTACAGCTACGAGAAGATTCGGCCGACGTCGCTGCACGGACGAGCACATTAAATTCGAAGTGTGTGGGTTCCGGGTGTAGTGTTGCATTATCATTCAGGATGGCGCAACGAAGGTCGTGTGCATCGCTTGGGTACCGACGATGTCAAATTCCCTGTTGGAACAGTCGATCGCATGGTCCATTTGTTCGACGAAGCCGGCGAGAAGAAAAACAAATTTCCTACCAAACCTGCGGATGCGAAGGTACTGAATGTTCACAGTAGAATCCTCCGAAGTCAAATATCTCCCATGTCGAATTTTGTTTAGTCCCAGCTGTCTGGGTTCCACCCAGAACAATTAGTGGAATTCGTTCAAAACGTTCCTAACTCGGAAAGTTTTTCGTTCATCACTCGAATTTCTGGAGGCCTTCTGTACAATTTTTTCATCAACACAGGAAAGAGAAGCGCAATTTAAATGTAATGATGTGTTTTAAAAGGAAATGAAAAACTAATTCGGCAAATGAACTCGTGAAGTTAAGTTTCCTGTCAACTCATGGAAGAAGCAATTTAAGGTCCAGAATATAATCAATTACTATTTCCAGTAATTCCTTCTTTCTTTCCCCTTGCATAAATGTCCGTTTTCCTAGCTTGTAACCTCCCTGAGTCAATTTGTTTTGCTGGTCACTGTAAGTTCGACTGAAAGAAGTGTGACTCTTTTTCATTGGGTATTTGAGTAGCTAAAATTAAACTTGAGAGGTGTTTTGCATTCATTCGTAGTTCGGGAAGAATTACATGAAGGACTCGCTGTCTGGATTCAACCAAAATTTCCGTTGACCACACTGATAACATCATTTACGTGTACAGTACAAGATTGGCGAAGACTGGTTTGGAGTTCCGTTAATATCGCTTAAATTTGGAGTGTTTTCGTGTGTATCATTTCTTGATTAGGTGGAGAAGAAATTGATCTGTAATAAGTTTGTGCAATGCGCCGCCGTGACGACTACGATTTTTCAGTCCGATCGTTTACGGTCTGGCGAATGGTGAAGTTCGTGCTGCTGACGTGAAAACGGGAAGGCAACAAACGTTGTATGGAACGAATTCGTTTGTCTGTGCTTTGGGAGCAGGGTTCGTACTCGAAAAATTCTTTTTTGGTAGTCGAATGAATGCGTAGATTTATCGTAAACGACGTTTTGATTTTCTGTGTTCGAGGACGTGTTTCGTAATTTTGTTTTATTTCCTGTAGTCCCAATGGACGAGCCTTCTGGTCAGGTCATGCGGATGAAACTGGTTCGCTGCTACCTCGCTCAAGATGATAATCCCATGCCCCAGGTAAATGTTGCAATACACTGTAGCCTCCTCAGTTGGATGAATATTTTCCCCTCCATTTACTTCCTGTTGCATCTCTTGACAGATGTGCATTCCTGAAATTGTTAATGCTTGAACCATTATTTCCCATGGAAAAGGGGCCTTGACGCCACACATTTCCTCTTTACTTGCTTAGATGTATGTACTCACATATCTGAGGGGCACTGCTTTTGGGAATTTTCCCTCATAAATTTATGCATGGCTACCAGGTGCACTTTATTTTTCCTCCTCAGTTTCTGGAGAAAAGATGCGCGTGGTACTCAAGTGAGTACGGTAGTATTTCATGGTGATGAAGAGCTTGTCTGGAGTGTTGAGCAATGTTTTCGTGAACCTACGAGTAATACTTGAGAAACTTCACATGAAAACATTTCTCCAGGTAAAGGTGATATGACACGAAGTCCCACCCTATGCACTGGTATGGGCTTCAAACCACATCTTCGTTGGCGGATGCGACGAGAAAGCAGCGTCTTTCACGTTTGACGGGAAATTAGCTCAAGCCTTCGACTACAGCCGTCGCAACTAAGAAAAAGCTGACGGTGGCTGTGTGTTCACCGTCGGGACAAAGCGTTGTTGTTGGCAGCTACAGCAGGATCCGACAGTGCAATTACACTCCGAGCAGATTGACGTGGGACGAAGCCCCGGAGAAGGATTTGCCCAATTTTAACGCCATTACGTCGTTCGTGGAAACGAGACGGGTCGAGAGTTCTTTGTGGTACTCTTAGCGGGGCTGTCGAAATGTTCGATTCAGTCATGAAGTGAGTGAAATTTCCTTCATAATTTTGTGAACCCATTGCGTATTGTGACGATCTACCGCAGTTGAACCCCGATTACTCGAATTTCCGTAAGTCAAATACCTCCGCGTAAGGATTTTTGAAAGTACCTGTCGGAAGTCCCTTGGAAATGATTCATTGAAAGCCTCCATAACTCGAAGGCCCCTTACCTCCGTAAATCGAATTCTCTGGAGGGCTTTTGGCTATTGCTACAGTATTATTATAATTTTTTGACACAGGAAAGAGAAAAGCGATACAAAATTAATTGATGTGTTTTGAAAGGAAGTGAAAGACGGATTGGGCAAATGAACGCTTGCCTACACGTTCAGCTTCCTTTCAACTCATTTAAAAAGCAATTCGACGCATAGAATATCGCCATGACAAGTTCCTGTGATCCTTCTTTCTTTCCCCGAACAATAATTCCTTTTTCCCCTATTCAAATCGTGTCGCTGGTCCCCTGTAGCTTGACTTGAGGAGGTTTGCTAGTACTGTATCCCTCATCGATGCGTTGATGTCATTTTATAGGTTCACATATATTTTTAACTCGCGCATTCTGTATGCGAGTCATTTTTGTTGCTCTAAAATTGAATGAATTTTCTTGAGATGTATGGAAGATGATCTTCGTGAGAAATGCAGAAGTGCAATTAGGCATTCCCGTCGTCCGAAGCCTTCTTTTTAAAATAATTTGAAATATTTTTGCGCGATCTCATCATACGATTTTTGGTTCAAAGTGATCGTAATTACAATTTGGAGAATTGAATACTGATATGTCTCTTCGGAAAAATGATGAAAATGATTTGATGCGGCTAACGGGCGAAATTTAAATTATACTGTGTACGCATGCAGTTGAGTTTATCTTATCGACTAATGCCTTCTTTTAAATTTGAATGCGAAGTTTACTTGATTTCTCTCTCTGGCTCATTGTTTATGTGCGCATGTTTTGTTGTGTTTCAGACGCTCCGTTCTGAACAACCGATGAGAAATGACATTCGTTTGTCCAAGTCAAGTATTGATGAAGCCGTTGCAAGGCAAGGGTCGAGGAGCCGTTCCCAAGTCTCAGTATGGGTACGAAATCGAGGATGTGAAGATCATGGTGAGGCCCCTTCTCGCGGGAGCAGATCTGCACGCCGTCTGAACTCCTCGCCCCTGCGCCCCCATCCCCTCACGTCCTGCACCCAACACTCTCTCTCCCATGGTTGTGCATGAGTGACTTCAAGAATCGGGAAGCGGTGTAGTAAGTGTACACGCAAACCTTGTTAAACCGCCGATGTCTGTGCAGCAGGTGGGCGGTTTAGCAAGGGTGGCGGTTTATCAGGGGTAGTGTTTTATGGGAGAGGCACACCAAAAAGGAGATTAAATCAAGAAACCTTTTTTTTCACTTTCATCTGCAACAGATCTTCCTTCTATCGTGATCATCAGTATTTATGATAAATTGGAACACAGATATTTTTTTCAACTATAAAGAAAGAATAGTGGTGGCTTTAAATTCCTTACTTCACAACATTTAGACCTTGAAGAATGCCCATTAAGCATTAGTAAGTTGCTTATGGGTTGGAGCATCATCAATTGATAAAGGTAGTCCAAAAATTGCATGCCAAGTGGGAAACAGGGTTTATTAGGATTCCAAGCAGATATTGTCATTCAATCTTTGCTGTAACCATTGGTTTTCTTTTCCCAAACCAAAACCTTTTCAAATGATCACCCCAGCACCACCATCTGTTGGAGTTCCATGGGAGCATATGTTTCTTCAGGGAACATTTTCAAAAATGGGTTTAGTTTTTCATGGTTATATTCTGCAATCATTAAGATTAAAAGATTATTTAATTGCATGCGTGTAAAAATTTTGCTTTTGCCTGCTGCTGATCAATGAAAGTCTTTTCCTTTCAAAGCCCAGTATAGGAAATGTTGTGATTGTTCAAACTTTTCTCTCCAAAATTCCAGGGCACGCAAAAGCTTAAAATCTGAGACATCAAAATGAAAAACCATAACCCCCCCCCCCCTTTTAAACCCTCCA